GCTAATGCAGCAGAAATGGCCTCACCTCTTGGGTTAAGGTCCCCTTAATGTAGCCAAGGATGCCCAAGCTCAGGGCTCCCAGCCTGCTCACCACCAAAAGGCCATTTCAATCTTTCTGTTTACCATGGGCTCTAACCTAATATGCTGCATTTGCAAATTATAACAGAGTGGCTTTCTCTTTCTGTTCCCCAAAAACAACAGAACCGAAACAGCCCTCCCAGGGGTCGCGGCCCAGCTATCCCAGCTCCACACAATTGTTCTGCCTTCCCAGGGACCCCGGGCTACTCACTGAGGAGGAGGCTGATGAACCCCAGGAGACTGGAGGCCCAGCAAGGCGGGTGGTGCTCTGAGCAGGACCCCATGGCACGCTGCCCGCGAACCTGGTCAGCTGCAGCGGAAACATTGAAGGGGGAAGAAACCAGCTTACACAAGCTTTCCCACCCCAAGGGCAGGACTAGGAAGTTACTGCTGGGGAGACAGCCCATCACTCTAGAGAAAGAGCCATTCAGCTCTTTTGTAGATGCTGTGCACACTCAATAAGTAATCGCAGAGAAATGTGTAACTTCACACTGTGATGTGCCTGATATCACGTTGACCAGGCCCCCCTCCCTGCGGTCACAGCCAGCTTGGTGCTCTCACACATGCCCTGCCCTGATGCTTATCTGCTTAGCTGGGTTCACGGCTCTGCCCCAGGCTACCCTGGTCATCAAGAAGTCATTGTCTTACAGCAAACCCTGTGGGCCCCTCCTGAGTTTGGTGGCTTTCTTCTGTCCATATCCCATTTAGTTCTGTTCTCATTTTGGTTATTTCTGCTGGGTTTAGGATTGGTTAGTTCTTCCTTTTCCAGTTCCTTGAGACAATTTATAAGATTGTCAATTTGCGATCTTTCTGTCTTTTCAATGTGGGCATTTAAGGCTATGAGTTTTCCTCTCAGGAACGCTTTTGCTGTATCCCATGGAGTTTGATAACTTGTGTCCCCATTATCATTCAGTTCAAAGATCTCTTGATTTCCATCTTTATCTCCTCCCTGACCCCACTATCATTCAGGAATAGGTTGTTTCATTTCCATGATTTTGTGTAGAGATGAGCGTTTCTGTTGGAGTTGATTCTAATTTTATTCCACTGAGATCTGAGAAGATACATGGTATAATTTCTATTTTTTTAACTTGTTGAAACCTGTTTTGTGGCCTAGGATGTGGTCAATCTTAGAGAAAGTTCCATGAGCTGATGAGAAGAATGTATATGCAGTATTTTGGGGGTGGAATGTTCTGTGGATGTCTGTTAGGCCCATTTGTCGTAGAGTTCTGTTGAAGTCCATTGTTTCTTTGCTTATTTTCTATTTGGAGGATCTGTTGAGTACTGTCAGTGGGGTATTGAAGTCCCTGGCTATTATGGTGCTGCTATTTATCATTTTGTTTAGATCAAGTAGGATTTGCTTTATGTATCTGGGTGCTCCTTTGTTAGGTGCATAAATATTTAGGATTGTTAAGTCTTCTTGTTGAATTGTTCCCTTCACCACTGCATAGTGACCATTTTTGTCTTTCTTTACTTTTGTGGATTTGAATTCTATGTTATCTGATATGAGAACAGCTACACCAGCTTTCTTTTGGTTTCCATTTGCATGGAATATTGTTTTCTATCCCTTCTCCTTGAGTCTCAATGAATCCTTGAGGGTTAGATGCATTCCTGGAGACAGCAGATACTTGGCTTGTATTTTTTTATCCACTCAGCCAACTTTTGTCTCTTCACTGGGGAGTTCAAACCATTCATATTTATTGAAAGAATTGATAAGTGGGGTGGGGTATATTTCTGCTGAATCTATTGGGTAGACCCTTATTGCTTTGTTTTACCTCTTGAGCCATCATGGAATCTGGGTTCTGTACTTTAGCTTTTGGAGGATTTTACACTGGTGGGTGTCTATTGACATGATCAGTGTATAATGCAGCTCTGAGTACGTCCTACAGGGTGGGTCTGGTCTTCACAAATTCCCTCACTGATTCCTTGTCTGGGAAAGTCTTTATTTCTTCCTCAAATAAATAACTTAGTTTTGTAGGATACAAAATTCTAGGCTGTCCATTATTCTGTTTTAGAAAAATGAGGATGGGTCCCCAGTCCCTTCTACCTTGTAAGATTTCAGTTGAGAAGTCTGCAGTTAGTTTGATAGGTTGCCTTTGTAGGTTACCTGCTGTTTTCACCTTACTGCTCATAGGAGTGCATCTTTTGTGTTTACTTTGGCCAGCCTAATGACCATGTGACATGGCAATTGCCTTTCATGATGAATCTTCCTGGGGTCCTATGGGCTTCTTGTACCTGGATATCTAGATTTCTAGCTAGGCCAGGGGAAATTTTCCTCAATTATTCCCTCAAATAAATTATCCGACCCTTGCGTATTTTCTTCTTTGTCCTTAGGGATGCCTATGATTCTTACCTTTGCCACTTTACATAATCCCACATTTCTTGTAGGCTTTGCTCATTCCTCTTTTTCTCTGTTCTTTCTCTTTGACTTATTTGTTTAGCTCATAGGTATTCTCTCCAAGCTCTGAGATTCTTTCTTCTGCCTGATCTAGCCTATTCTTAAGGCTTTCCACTGTGTTTTGTAATTTCTTGGGTGAATATTTCATTTCCATAATTTCTGTTTTGTTTTTCTTTCATACCGCATTTAATAAGTCAAAGACCTTTTCTCATTTTTCGAAAATGTCGACTGTTGCCTAAGTAAGAAGCTGTGTGCAAAAGAAAAAAGCTCTTTGTGGAGAGTGTTAACTGTGCACAATCTCTACGCAAATAGCATTTACCTTCTGCGGGCAGCCATATGGCTCCCTCAGCTGCCACTAATGCTAGTCATCCTCTCCATATACCCAAGGCAAAGCCAAACCCCCACAAAAGCTGACAGGCTCTTGGCTGGATTGAACCATGACTTTCCCCCTAAGCTTCTACCAGCCCTGATTCTGCTATCTCAGAGGAATGGGATAGAGAAGTACACACTCCCTCTGGTCACAGTCTCAGCTGGCTCAAACTCACCACCACCTACAGAGATTCAGGCTCTGGTCTCTTCTCTCCAAACCTGGGCA